TGACAAAGAATTACACTGTCCCGGTCCCAAACCAGATACTATAAAACCGAACCAACTGGTTCTTGGTTCTATTAGGTTCGACCCGATGATTTCCTGCAGGAAGGAAAAGCAACTGATCAGAAAAAACCTGTAACTAGCAAACTTTGAATCTCTATCAAGTAATCTAGATAGACAGAAGTGGTTTGGAGCTTGGACTCTTAAGGCTGTGTTTCGTTGCAATGCAAATAAATTTGCACTGATACAAAATTATGGCAATGCAAATGATTTGAGTGTAAATTGTGGCATATTTTTGTTTTAAATTTTAGTTTATTTTGTTTGATTGTAGTATAAATAAAGTAAATTAAGGCATAAAGCAGAATAAAGTAAAATCCAAAACAAAATTAAACAAGAAATTACATTTTTTTTTACATTTGCACTCCCATGCATTTGTACTAATGCAAATAAATTTGAACTGCAATCAAACACAGGCTGAGTTTGGGAAGAGTACAAATACAAATATTAACAGTGCAAATACATAGAAATAAATACAAAATATAAGGTTTTACACTAAATATTTTGTATTCCTTCCAAAACTGAGCTTTAGAGTTCAATATATAGAACTAAGCCTAAGAGATTGAGTGTTTAAATAAGAGAGTAGAGAAAAAAAGAAGAAGAATGAAAAAAAAAGGAGAAAGAGAATTAGGAAAGAGAACTTGGGTACGTGAAGACTGAAGCTTGGAGTGGACAGTCGATTAGAGAAAGAGAAAGATCCTTTTGGACATGTATAAATTAAATATTACATGTAAAATTTATTTAATATATTTAATTAGGGCTGTTCATAAGAAGACCCAACCCGACCAACCCAATCCGAATCGGCCGGGTTTTCTTCAGCACTGGTCAGTTTTGGGTTGTAGAAAATCATAAACCGATGGTTCGGGTTGATTTTGGTTTTTATATGTGAAAACTGAAACCGACCCGAACCGAACCGACTTAGTAGTTAGTAGTTAGTTCCTAGTTAGTATTTACAACCTACTTAGTTCCTACTTAACTAAATTGTCTCTATCCTAGTTACAACCTAACTTAATTTCTAGTCTTCTAGTTAGGAATGACATTAATGGCAAGTATTGTAAGACAACTAGACAAGGATTTTTTTTTGGAAAAGTTTAAAGAAAAGAATCAAAGGATCCTAGTTTTTATGGTCTTTTATACCAAATAGGCAACCAATTACATTTACAATTAGGTGTCATTCTTTACTTAGATTATAAGGTTTACTGAAATATACAAATTTCAGTATTCTTTCTCTAATACTATTTGACTTTCTATTTTCTTGATAACTTTTATTCTAATTTGGTCCGCCCCCTACCAATTTTAGTCTTCTTTCTCTAATAGAATTAGGTGTCATTTTTTACATCAAATTTCAGTCTTCTTTCTCTAATCTACCAATTTATTACCATGGTTGAATTTAGAGCCGAAACCAACCTAAACTGACCCAACCCGACTCAAACCGACCAAGTCAGTTTTGCTTAACACAGAATTGGTTTCGGTTTCAATTTCAGGTAACCCGACCAGGTCGGGTCGGTTGAAAAAATCTTAGTAAACCGACCCAACCCAACCCGTGAAAAACTTTATATTTAATAATAATAATAATAATAATATGTTACATACTTAAAATAATAATAATAATAATATGTTACATACTTAAAAAAATAAAGACAAAAAGACAAAAAAAAGAAAACTTATGATGCCACAAGGTATGGTAATCGAAAATTTTTAACCAATCAAAAAACCCACATGAATTTGGATGAAAACAGTAGATTGGCTTGCACTTGATGAATATGATGAATACCTGTTGATTTGCCCTAAATATAAATGAGGATATTCGAGTATAAAATATGTATAATGTTACCATCTCATTAACACATTAATTTTAGAATTCCTTGCCGCGTAAGTAATTAAAAAGCATCATAGCAAAGTTAAACCCAAAACGGGTTGGGGTCCATTCAACTTCAAGTGTTCCATCTATTGGTGAACAGTCTGACAATATGCAACTGTTAGACAGTAACGGGTCCTTCAATGAATAGCGTTAAACATTGAATTCCTACCAATTTATTAAAATTTTCGGTTGAAACATTGAATGAAATGAACTACACTTTGAAAAAGAAAAGATGGGAAAAAAATGAGTTTCTAACTTTTGAACCTCCTGTGAGGGTTTAAGCAAGAGTATATCTGTGTGATGTGGGAAAGCAGAAGAACTTTGACCAATCAAACCGCCCTATGAATGCCACTCAATTTTAGGATACTGGTTGATTGATCCTAAGTTTTTCCAGTATTATATAGCTGAACCCTATAAACAAACCCCCTGTTTGGGAGTGATTATTATTAAGTATTTATTTTAAGTTGGAATCACACCAATAAGCACTTGCATTTGGGAGAAAAGCCAATAAGTGCTTATTCCAGAAAATAAATCCATAAGAAGTGAAAATTTTCAACTTATTTTTAAGCACTTTTCAATAAGTATTTATTGCATTTCTGGCCCGTTTTGGCCTTCTCAAAATTTCTATACTGCCCCCAGTTGAAAGAAGCATTTTTCCCCACCAAACACTCATAAGCACTTATTTATCCAATAAGTACTGCCAAACGGGGACAAACCGCCACTCTATTTTATCCTAATCCTTAAATATGCTCTATTGAGTGTTTCTACTGTTAGGGTAAATCTATTATTCTGGAAGTGGAAATGTATAATGTAGAGGAACTTTGACCAATCAAAACCCCTAATGAATTTTGATAAAAATTACTTAATTGGTTACCACTTCTATAATACCGGCATTGGCTATATGTTTTTCCGGTATAATGTCCAGTAAACAGAATAGTAGAAATATTAAGAATACCCTTTTATAAATTTTTTTGAATATTTGAATCTAATAAGAAAATGCCCTACTCATAGGTAAATAATTTGGGTTTTTGGCATGTTTAAATTAATGGCTTTATGACAGATCATAAAAAAACCATTAATGTTGAAGCTCATCCTCTAAATATGCCACCTGTAAAATTTGGGATCAAGGGGTTCACACACAATCCAAAGTTTGATGCCATCTTTTATAATTTCAATGGATTGATATTGGACCAAATGTGTCTATCATCTTTAATTTTTGAAGGAGATAGTTGGTGAACACCAACGTTGATCTTTTAGTTGACATTTATATCATCATCCAAGACTTGTCCTTATCCCAACTAATGGGTGGATACTGTTTCTTTTGGAGATACTCTTTCTTTTGGTTTTTTGAGGTGGGTCCTATACTGCATCCATTCCAATTGATTTCAATTCTGATTCTGATTTTTGTCAGAACTAAACAGGCAAAAGGAATAGATCATTCCAATTCTGATTTCAACTGAGAATCAAATGGATACTAAAGCCCCGTTTGGTTCATGGGAATAAGAGTCTGGAATCAGAAAAGGAATGGGCTATTGATTCCAACTGTTTAATTGGATGGAATCGGAATTCCATTCCCATTCCTGCTGGAATGGCATTTCCCCATTTGAGAGAATGGCCATTTCCTGTCCCTCCCTAGGGAATGAAATCCCATTCCCGCTGATTTCAATTCCCATTCCCATTCCTGTCTGAACCAAACAGATTATGGGAATGGGCCATTCCGATTCCGATTCCAGTGGATTTTTATTCCAATTCCGATTCCAACTGCGAACCAAATAGATCCTAAGATTATATTATTAAAAGTCGAATTTTAAATTATTATTTATATAATTAATATCTGTCAGTATAATCAGATCTCCTGATTATTTAATCAGACAATTCCGATTCCGATTCCAACTGAAACACTTCGCCCCAACCCAGACCCGACCCATATAACCTGCTACAAAGATGTTTTTCCAATTCTTGGTTGGGATGCTTATTTCTATATGGCTTTCTCCTTCTCGAATTAGTTAATCCTAGAAGTGGTGATGAGTGGTAAATTGGTAATCAAGGCCCATATGACTTTTATGAAGCCACTATAGAAGATTAGTAACACCTTGAATCGGTAATACTTACTTTATTCCCACCTTTTTCTTTTGTTTTGATAATAATTTAAAAAATACTTTATTAATTAAGAAAACACTTTTATTTATGAATCTAGGGATGGTTAATATAAGTATATTCTCAGTTGTACTTGATTTAGGAAAGCATCAAGAAACCTGATCGATGAAAAAAAATAAATAAATAAAAAGGCTGGTCTATTTGCTAGAGCTGTGAATTTAGAATAGTAATTTTGGTAGAGGCTAATTTGAGGTTGAAGTCACAAATCACCGAACCACGTCAGATATTGTTTGTATTCTCTTTTTGGCATTTTCTTTCTTGTTTTCTTGGTTTTTTGGCAGTTGGTACAACAAACCTATCTTATGTGTAGCTCAAATTTATTGGCAAACTTGGCAATGTTAGCTAGGGTTAGGGAGCGAGTTGCAACATTCGCATGAGTATGGACTACTCTATCAAGCAACCATAATTTCTAGGTATTTATGGTCATCCTTTAATCCCTTAAGATGAGTTTGGTTTGATGAAAAAATAAGAGAGAAAATAAAGTTCAGAGAAGGTTCTCAAGAACTTTTCCTCGTCTCATTTTCTAATTTCTATCAAACCAAACATAGCTTTAAGATATTACTAGGTCCTGCAAAGAATTGTCAATTGTTAGACACACATATAAAAAGTACGAGTCTCTATCGACTACTACCAAGAAAAAGATCTGCCTGAGTCTTATTTATCCGATTCTTTTATGCTTCCTGCAAGCATCCGTAATTCATGGTTGGTCCCAATGTACAACCTCTGCAACTGTAGAATTCATGGGTTTGATAGCGGACCATCTAAATTATTTCATATTTGCTAAAAGCCAGAAGGCTTTACCAAGACTAAATCTTGAGTAATATTTACATCATTTTAGATCGAGTAAAATAACTGAAAAGATAGTAAAACAATATCTCTAACTTTTGTATTTTACATTATTTTTACACAGTGTGTGTATTGCGCATTCAGCTTTAATAATAAAAGGCACTTTTAAATGATTATTCAGTATTTCATAATTACAAAAGATGCCCGAAAGGAGTTTATAGTAACAACTTGGGATAACATTCGCCTCCATCATCTCTGACTATGAAATTGCTTATGGCAGTGGATGGGCCAAAAGCACTCACTACACACGCAGTTACACTGACAGAAATTTCAATTCTCAGACGTCAGAACTCAGTAGGATGAAGGGCTTCTGGAAAAAAAACTAAAACAAAACAGGGCTTCTTTTTTGTTTTTGTCTTGTGATTCAAAAGGAAACTGACAAGTTTCAAATATGGTAATACAAAACCAAGGGAAGAAGAGGTACTTTGAAAAACCATTCTCGGTTTTAAGTTGAACAGGGCTGCAACCAGAAAAAAAGAACTGGACAACAATGAGCAGAATCTCAGAGAAGAATCTGGAACTTGTTCATATAGAAAGCTAATGGACTATCCATTCTTCTATCCCTTTAGAACACCTAGCTTCACCAGAGATATTCTTATGTCATTACTGCTGCACCCTTCAGTAACTTCAACAATGTTGGTGTTGTCAAATGGCACAACATCTTCTAATGGATAGCTTCTATTTGCATGGAGTATGGCACGAGCATTGCTGCAGACTCCCTTCAATATTACAGTCTTGTGGACTCCACCAAGCAATCCTTCATAATCTGTATCCCCACACTCTCCAGCAAATACCACCATATTTGGTAACTCAATGCCCCACCGAACATACAAGTACCTGGAGAAAACATGATTAGATCATCAAACTCCATGAGTGTTACAGAAGGATTCAAGCATTGCAATTATACCTTAATATCAGACATTAACAGTAGATGGGAGGACTGTGGACCTTTACTCCCACAAAAAGGGAGCAACCCATAAGAGAGTGGTCCTTATAGCACCAAACCAGGCTCTACAGTATGAACTGGACACTCAATCTATAACCTAAACTAACACGAGAACATTCAACCCATGACTGAATTACTTAACCCTGAGACAACTTGGACTCTGTCAAGTTAGTTCAGGTTTGAATAGATCTTGCTTATGACACAATTATCTTTTGATCTCACCTAGTCCAACTCAAATTACAAATATACACCCCCTTTATTTCACATATTTGGGTACAGAGACTTGGTTCAGGCAGAAATAATGGCACTCTTACAAGGCTTTAAATTAGCAGTACAATCAGAAGCTAGAGAACTGAAAGTAGAAGGGGACTCACTATTGGTCATCTCCTGGGCTAAGCAAATAAACTCAGCACCCTGGAAGTATAGATTTGCATTCAGGGATTGACCTTGCAAAGAGTTTTAACTCTAAATTTAGGTGGGTTAAAAGAACAGCAAATGGATTGGCAGATACTCTAGCAAAACAGGAAGTTGATAGGCCTACTTTATTTTGGGCAAAACTGTAGATGGTTGTAGCAAAACATAGAGTTGATCATCATTGTAATCTGGGACAAATTGTACATTGCTGTACTCTGGACTGCAGAGTAGCTAAAGTACTTGTAATCTGTTTTTAAATTAATAAATAAAATCTCTTTTCTGATAAAAAAAAGATCCACTTGGATAGTGCAACTAGGAATTCCCTAGCCAAATTAACCTGCTGAGACGATATACCAATCCAACACAATACATTTTTGTGTGGCATGGTTTTCAGAACAAATCTGTAAATCAAGTTGTATTATCAACATCACACATCATAAACCATTTGATAGATGATGTCTTGGCTTCGACAACTGAAAGCTGAGACCTCATACTGAAAGTAACTGGCATCCAACCAAAAGAAATGCTATGACAGAAATAGCCATGTGTGTCCAATAAACAATGGAAACCCCAGGATCTCAGCAGAGCTTAACAAATCAGAATTATTTAAGGTGATGGTTAAACAGAGTTGCAATTTCTATTCATCAGCCTCAGTTAGGGAAGAGTGCAAATACAAATATGTTCAGTGCAAAACCTCGTATGCGGTATTTCTAAACCTTGTATTTGCACTCTTCCCAAACTGAGCCTCAAATTCAATATACAGAACAAGGACCCTCACTCTTCCTAGAAGTCAAAAATAGGCGGAACTCCCTCCAACCTATGACAAATTCTAAGAAGAAACATGGCATTGCAAAATGGCTCTAACAACTTCAATAATATAATGAATCCACTGGCATGGTCTTTGTCTACCAAAACTACAGTAAACAACATTCTTACTTTTATCCTAGAATATTTTTTGGCAAAACATAAACCATAAAAGAATAAATATATAAATCAATCAAATACGAATTTTGTGCCTGTAAGAATAACCTTAATAAATATATACCTGAGGGCTTGGGCCCGAGAAGCCAGTACAGGAATTACATGCAGGTTGTTACCATTTTGGCAATATATTACATGACAACGGAGAGCCTGAATTCTCATCAACTTCCGCAGCTCCTTAACAGGAGGAACCTGTGAAGGCAAACTAAGACATTAAATAATTTATTGTTCATTTACATATAAAAATTTACCTATAAAATTTCTTTGTGTTTTTATATACTTAAAGATGGGCATTTTTCTTAGTGATCTCAAATGGAAAATATGCATCACACCCTATAGGTAAAAAATATGTCAAGAATCAAGAGGCAAAGATTTCCAAAACCATTCCATCAAATATGCTGTAAAAGGACCATATTTTAGGATTTAAGAAGATTTTACAATCTTTTCATAGAAAAAGCTTTTAAATTAGAAGCAAAGTAAATTTACCAATGCCGGTTTCTTCACTTTAAATGCATAGCAATATTTAGTTGATCGCTCTTCATCTTCAGTAACCATTTGCTCTTCACTTTTTCCATTCTTATTAACGATGGAAGCAGCCCAACGAACCAAAGTCTTCCTCAATCCTCCTCCACCCCAACGGTATTCAATGTGTGAATGATAATCCAAATCACTCACAAAGGGAATCCCTGAAGGATTGTCCCCCAAGTTTAGAGATGGATAGTAGATTTCGCTACCACTATTACAAATAAAAGCATCAAAATCAGTAGCACGTAGACCTCCAAGACCCAAAAGAGAGTATATTTCAGATATGGTATAAGATGTTGACAATATGAACCCTATAGACCCTGAAGCTTTTTCTTTCTCTGCAGCCTCAAAAACCTTTTGAATGTTTTCAAGCAGCTCTGTAATTGTATCAAGATCTACAGAAATGACAAAAACATGTCTCCTCCTCCTGAATGCTGGGAACTTACCCGCACTTGTATTCTGGTCTGCTTTCTCAGTGGATCCAACCTTGTGCACATCTCTTAGAGTACCATCTGACCATGTCAATACAGCATTTTCTAACTTACTCTTTCTATCAGTAGCATTTTCTTCAGAATCTAGAACATTATCAAGGGTGCCACTGTCTTCATTCTTTTCACCATCCAGATATAGCTTTAGATTTAAAGATATATCCTGTATATCCCTCAAGGAATCACCTGGTGAATCTGAATCTGACTTTTCCAACATAGTGTCACTTCTTTGAAATTGCGGCTGCCTTGGCTTGCAACTGGCTATCCGAGTTAAGTAAGTCTTACAGTGCTCTGGCCATGAGAAAAGGTGAATATTTTTCAATCCATTCTGTCGACATCTTGCCCAAAGTTGTTTATCCGCAACAAGCTTCAAAAGAGCATCAGCAATTGATCGCTGATCATGGGGATCAATAAGGAGGCCATTGTCAAGAACCTGTGATAATTTAATTATTAGATTTGAAGAACTGTGAGCCTCATCTTACAAAGGCTTTAACAATGGGCCAAAAAACTATTCTAAAGCAGTATGAAGGAACCAATGACATGCCATACACGATGTATGTCAACAGGACCTCCATTTTTTGTGGCCACAATAGGCAAACCATGAGCTGCAGCCTGCATAGTGAAAAAGCAGAACTTACATTAGTTTCTGTAATAACTGATTTAACCAACAGAAAAGCTTTTTGGACAATTAAAGGACATACCTCTATCAAAGTTAGTCCAAAGGGCTCAATAAATGCTGGATTGATGAAAACACCCTGCACGAACACAAGTTAGAGTGCAAATTCTAACAATAATCAGAAAAGAAATAAGATGTGAACTTAGATATGTTATCTTGGACTATATGGCATATAAAGCATGACAAACATATGGTAAAATATGTTCTCAAACCTCTTGACATTATACAATTTGTTGGCAGTCCATAAAATACTCAACTAAGTGAGTGATCACCAATTACTAGAGAGGTCACTATCTGTAAATCTTTTATTTTATTTTTTTGATATGAAATGGTAACTTTCATTGAAGATATTAGAGTACAGATAACACCACCCACAAAGTGGGTGGAAAATCAGAAGTTCAGAACAAAAGCCTTACAAACAAGCCCAAAACAACGCCTCCCTAACAACTCCTTGCTAGCTAAAGCGTCAGCCATTCCATTGGCTGACCTTCTTACCCAATTAAAATGCACCCCAAGTTCCCTTACTAAGCTAATGATCTCTCTTAGAGGCTGTCTAAGCAACCATACTCCCAAGTTTCTAGATTGCACCCACCCTATTACCAGGTTGGAGTCTCCTTCCACTTTCAAGTGTTGCATTCCCCATTGTTTCACCAATTTTAGTCATTGGAGTAAGGCCATGACTTCTGCCCTCAGAGAATCTCCCACCCCAGTCGAGCCCAAGTGCCAAAACTCTTGCTTCCTCATTTCTGAAGACACCTCCAACTCCCGATGGGCCTGGATTACCTAAGGAGCTTCCATAAAAGTTTAACTTCACCTTGAACTGAGACGGTGGTGACCAAACCTCTTGAACTATAGGGGTGAAGGGAGAGGATATTGTCAATCTTCTAGGTTGAGAGAACACCAAGAGTTTTAGGGGTGTCGAACTGAATGGTCAGCCCCCACCCCCAAAGAGCCTATATATCTTATTAGTTATAAGTATTTACAAAGAGGCCTTTGAAGGGCTAAAGATAAAAAAGAATAATTACAAAGAGGCCCTCGGAGGGCTGAAAGATAAGAAAGAAAAAGAATGCTATGGTACAATAGGGACCATAGGACAACATTACATCAAGTATCTCTACACTCCCCCTCAAACTGATGTTGAGACAAGCATCAGTTTGCCCACAAGAAATAGATGTCTAGATCTCGTCATAGGCTTCGTGAGAATGTCAACAATTTGGAAGTTGAAAACTATATAAGGAAGGGAAATAGAACTAGCAAGAAATAGATCCCTAATGAAGTGACAATCCACCTCAATGTGTTTGGTTCTCTCATGAAACACTGGATTATATGCAATCTTAATAGCACTAGTGTTGTCAGCATAGAGAGGAACAGGCGTGGGGAGGTGAACACCAAGATCAACAAGAAGAGATTGAAGCCAAACAATCTCACTACATACCGATGACATAGCCCTGTATTCGGCTTCTGTAGATGACTTAGAAACTGTCTATTGTTTCTTACATTTCCAAGAGATAAGGGAGTCTCCCAAAAAGACACACTACCCGGTAGTAGACCGTCTGGTATCAAGACAACCTGCCCAATCTGCGTCAACATAAGCTCTCAACTGAAGAGGAGATGAAGAAGAAAAGAACAGTCCCTGAGACAATGCCACAAACATACGGATGATCCGATGGACAACAGTCATGTGGGGCTGAAACGAACTGACTAACTACCCGAACCGCATGAAATGTTTGGACGAGTCATGGTGAGATAGATGAGAGATCCAACCAATTGTCGATATAGAGTAGCATCAGGAAGCAAGGTCCCACCAGATTTAGACATCTTGACAATGAGTTCCAAAGGAGTATCAACCTGTTTGGTGTTTGTAAGGCCAGCAAGCTTAATAAGATCAGAAGCATACTTGTGTTGACAAACAAAGTAACCACGGTTGCTACGATGTACTTCCAGCCCCAAGAAATAAGTATGAGAACCCAAGTCTTTCATATGGAAGGAACTGTGGAGAAGAGACTTAGGTTCTTGGATTCCAACCTCATCATCCCCTGTCAATAACATATCATCTACATACAACAACAAGATGGTAATGCCTTGRGGTCTTTGACGGATGAAGAGAGAATAATCAGAGGCAATCTGATTGTAGCCAGCAACCACTACAACATCTTGGAATTTCTAAAGCCAAGCCTA